GGGGGGGGGGGTGCTTGTTGGGTCATCTTAGGTCCTCGGGGGAGAGATTCATTTCGGATGCCGAGGATCCAAATGACATTGGGGACGTGGGTTCGGTGAGTTGATATCTGTTTTGCGTGAGTGGTTCGATTCGTCGGTCGAGAGGGTCGTTGCCGGTGTCTTCGACGGCCATGAGTATCGTTGCGAAGTCAAGTGAGCGGAAGATGCTATACTCGAGCGTTTTTTCAAGTAGTTGTAGGTGTGCTTTGAATTTGTCGATGTCAACGTTAAGTTGTTGGATGGCTTGTGGCTCGATGCTGATAGAGTCATTGTCTCTGGCTGCGGCGAGTGCAGTGTTGAGAGTAGAGAGTTCGTTCCATTTTTCAGTGACTGCTTCTAGGCGTTGGCGGTCGTGGATGAATTTGATGACTCTGTAGCGGTCGAAATGGCCAGGGTCTTCTTTGCTTTGGCGGAGTTGGTAGAGGAGGGCATAAAAGTCTGGCAGTGGTAATGTCTGCTTGAGAGTGGAAGCCTCGAACAGCGCAGGAAGCGAGACACCGCCGGGCGTGTTGATCACTTGCTTCTCTTCCGGGACCTGTTCCTGCCGTGCCGTCATGTCCCGACCCGAAAAGTAGGCATCCAGCTCTCGCTGCAATTTCTGCAAACGCAACATCTCTTCTTTCTGCTTTTCGAATTGCTCCCGCTTCAAATTGTCCACAAACTTGGTGAAGTCCTTCTCCGGGATCTCCGACAACTGCACCGCCTCCTGCTTCGCCTGTAAGTCCATACTCGCCGTCACCAAGGCCATACGCACGATGTACATACACATCTCGCCGTTAATAATACCGTTTCCGCGCTGTTGGAGAAAATACACAAACGTATCATTCAGACACGACACGAAATACTCCTGACTGTAACGCACCGGCGGCCTCGGGATACCATTTGGATACAACTTCACAACTATCTTACCCTTTGAACCCTTCTCCGTCGCTCCCAGCATAACCTCATTTCGCACACTGTTGAAAATAACTCGCGGCTCTCTCTGCTTCTGAGACTGACTAAAAGACGCCATCATTCGTATTACCGAACCCACTACCGCCATTCGCAAATACGCCGGCTTCGCTGTCCGGGCCCAGTTGCAGAGCTCCTTCCACAACGCCCAACACAAGAATACTGAAACTCAGGATTTTGAGTGTGTCCCCACTCCACCGCCCTGTGCGATGCCACCAGCAGGTATGTGCGATGCCACCAGCAGGGATGTGCGATGCCACCAGCAGGGGTGTGCGATGCCACCAGCGGGGGGTGTGCGATCAGGTGTAGGTGGCATAGGTAGGTACGGTCCGACTGTGGGCTGGCGTACGGGCAAATATGACGTTGATAAAGATGATGACTAGTCCAATCACATTGGACCCCTCTGTGTCCAGAGCTTCGCCGAAACAGGCGAGAGTCAAGCTTACAATCCAGCACGCGAGGCATCCGATGTCTAGCCAGCTCATGATGTTGTTGTTTCGTCGGTCGAACGGACTGATCCAGACGTGTATGGTGAAGAACATGAGTGAGATGAAGAGAGCGAATTTCATATAGTTGGAGTCGTTGTGTGAGATGATGAGGCTGATATTGATGGCTGCTTTTCTGGCGAAGAAGAAGATCTCCCAGTACCAGTACCTGAGGTCGTATCCGTTGTGGAGGAAGCCGTATTTTTGAAGGATTTGGGGGCTGTTAAGTTGATTGGAATGTGGTAGGAGGAGACAGAGGAAGACGACGGGTAGCCCTAGTCCCCAGAAGAACATGAAGACGAGGCCGAAGGAGAAGTAGACAACGTAGTTGCTGTCGTCCCAGGCGCACTTGATCCCGGTGACGCTAGCATTCCGTAGGACGCCCTCTGCATCTCGCGTGCAGGCAAGTAGGTCCGTCTGACGTCTCAGCAAAATGTTGTAGTAGGTCACGCCAATGACGATATAAGGCGGCACCATGTCGCGGAAGAAGCGAATAACGTGTGCAGCAACGGGTATTGGTCGTGCTGTGGTGTAACGCCACACACTGAGAGTTCTAGTGTTGTCTATTTCGCGACCGAGTTTGGCAGCTGCGTCTATCAAGTTCTTTTGGATGAGCATTTCGTAAAGTCTTCTTCTCTTCCGTATAGAATTGGCGTGCAGCGGTATGCTTAAGCCTACCACAGAGGCGGCAATGAAGGTCACGAACAAGCCGGAAAGCAGCGGTACCGCGTTGAAGAATAACATTCCATCGCGGTATCTCTCCGCAAAAGTATCAGACTTACTCAGACACTGCAGAAACCCCAAGTCGTATAAATCCTGAATGCGGACACCACTGGGCGTAGAACTGCTGTCTGACCCGCCTCCGAGATTCACGTAGTGCAGCAGTGTCGTAGTCAAGTACGTCGTATACGTCTGCAGATCCGCCACAAACGCGATCATCAACTTCAACACCAACGAATGAATCGACTTCCTATTCGCGCCAGCCTTCACGTTCAACACCGCCAGACTCAGACAGAACAAGGTACTCACCACCAAAGCCAACGCCATATATAAGGCCACCGAACCCGGACACCTATGGCACTGTTCTCCCTTGAGGGCACTCCGGTCCACCCAGTACCCCTCGTCACAGTAAGCGCACTCCGGCCCGGCATACCCCGTTGGACATGACATTCATTAAACTGACACACGCACGATCAGACCCTATTTTGGTCTGGGGGGCAACCTTTTTGTCCCGTACCTATCCCGGCCATCAATTCCCACCCCACCTCACCTCACCTCATTCCACCCCGTTCCA